ATTAAAATTAAAAAATAAAAAAATAAAAATTGTTCAAACAAATAATTTATTTGATTAAAAATTAATAAATTATAATAACAATTAGTGTAATAATAATAATAATCTAAGAAGAAATAATATTATATTAATAAAGGAAAAATTATAAAAAATAATTAATAATAAATTACTAATTATAATAATTAAAAAAATAATGAATATTATAAAATTAGTTAATTACTATTATAATCGTTAACAATTACAATATCAAGTGGGCTTCAAGTGGGTTTTTAGATAGATTTGTGGGTCTGGTTCATATTCAAATTATAAAATAGGGAGACTCTTGGAGAACAATCGAAAATAGGAAGCAAATGGATATAGGATGACTCCTTATTTCTCCAAATAAGAAGTCTAAAATAAGAAGTCTCTTGGAGATGCTCTTACTTAAGCATCGGAGGCTCTTCACCTGAGAACCCCCCAGTGTGAGAGTTGTTTGCAGGTTTCCGGCGTTCCATCGGCAAGGACGAGAGGCGATCTATTCCAAACCGGTCAGGACGCTCACACTTGCATTATATAGTATATACATATATAATATAATATACAAATATTAAGTATAGTATATAGTATATAGTATGAAGTATGTAGTATGAAGTAGATTGTATATACATATGCATATACTTTATAATATGTAGTATACATCAAAGATGTAGTATAAAATATGTAGTATAATCAACTCCACTTTAATCTTAGTTGTAATTGTATGATTAAATTTAATCTTAGTTTTTTATTTAACATACTATCATGTGTTTTATATCATTACAATGGTATAATTTTATTCACCTTTGTTTGTAAATATTATAATCAACTCAATTTTAATCTTAAAAATGATTATTATTATTTTTTAATTTGATTAGGGTATAAAACGTATTCTTAGAATACGTTTTATGCCCTAAATTAATTATAAAACATCTTCTGAGAATACGTCTTAAACATTAAAAAAAATGGTTGAAGGTTCGCGCTTGAGGGGAATCGAACCCAGGTAAGGGCGTTTCAAACCCTCAAGGCCGCCCTCAATACCATTCTGCCGCTAGGTGATCGCGTTTATTTTTGCGCAAATTATAATCTTATGGTTGAATACCGAGATTTATAAAATTTTGAACTTATGGTCAAATTAAATTATATTGTATACTATATTATACTATATATACAAAATTAATCTAAGTACTTAAATTTCATATTTTAAGCACCAAACTAAATTGGTGAAATTCTCAGTACAAAAGGTTAATTAAAAAATTAATCATAAGTCAACATATTTACTCTCGTCTGGGAGAGATTTACTTTCTCTCGTCTGGGAGCGATTTACATTTTCGATCTTGATGTGTTACCGTTCCAATTCTGTTGTTTCCTTCTCTAATTCTGATCTACCTTTCCTCATCTCTGATAGCTGTGAGAGGTTCTTTTTCAAATTTCTTTTGGGTAATATCTAGGGTTTCTATGGGATCTTCAAGTTGTGTTGGTCAAGACGATGAGTTAGCCCAGAAATTGCAAAATGTTTCTCTTCTATCTAAAGAGAACTCCTTTATTGATCTGGGTCGAAGTGACATCAAAATTAGTGTGGATGAATGCAATCGCAGCCTGTTCGGAAAGATTATCGGCGATAGAGTTACCAGCTGGATTGGGGTCAAAAGAGCTATGAGCCATATATGGAAACTCAGTCAGCCGATGGAAATCAAGGAGTTGGGTACAAATTACTATCAGTTCATTTTTGAGAGCAAAGATGACAAAGACAAAGTAGCAAAGGGTGTTAACTGGACGTACAAAAATCAGTACCTTATCCTCTCGGAATGGAAACGGGGTCTTTCGATCAATCATTCCACCTTCAAAGAGCTTAATCTCTGGGTACAGGTTTTCAATATTCCCCTAGATTGGCTTAACACATAAGTTGGGTTGAAAATAAGGAAAGTTTTCAAACAAGTGAAGAATGTGGTTATTGTTGGAGCAGGCAGCCATGGTGGCAGAATAATGAGATTGCTAGTTACAGTGGATCTTCAAGAACCTTTACCCTGTTGTGCAAATCTCAGACTGGAAGATCAAGCAGTGAATGTGGGGTTTAAATATGAAAGGCTAATGAACCTCTGCCATTACTGCGGCTTCATAGGGCACTTGGATAGGGCCTGCTCAATCAGGCTTGATGACATTAAATCTCACTCCCTCCATGAAGGCCAATATGGAGCTTGGATGCGAGCTACTGATTTTAACAGATGGGCAGGCCAACACTCTTCTGGTTCTCAAAGTCCTCCTCACACTGACAGTCCTCCATCTCCGATACACTCTGAATCTCAAAACCCATTAGCCAAAACCTCTGGGCCTGACAACAACAAAATTCTCTCTATTGAAGGTTCACCTTCCCAGCTCATTAGACAAGACTCTGAAGCTTCAACCTCTCAACCGGTCAAGGCCCTGTCTCAAATAAACCCTCAACATCATTTGGGGATCTCTAATTCTTTAAATATGGCTCTAGAGGATACTCAGCCTGATAAACAAGACCTCAGTGCAAGTAAGGAAATGGAAGTGGAGGACATCTTGATTAATGCCGCAAAGGAAAAATCTATCCAAATCTCGGTTGCTGGTAAAGCTAATTATCAGCCAAAATTATGGAAGAGATTAGAATCCAGAATGGGGAGGTTGCAAAGACAGGCTATTTTTTCTTCTAATCTGGATGACTCATCCTCTGTAAAAAGGCCAAGAGAACATGAAGAAAATCTAAAGGAAGGCAATCTTTCTCATGACTCTGTTCAGGAGGACAACAAAAAGCAAAAGACTGAATCTGGTAAGGTGGGGGTGGCCAGCCTTGAATGGCACCCCAAGTGAACAATGCTAGCTACGGTGTGGAACTGTAGAGGGCTGGGTGGGCCCTCTACAGTTTTCCAAATCAGAGAGACCATTAAGGCTCATCACCCATCTTTTTTTTTTATTTCAGAAACTAAAAAAAATTCTGCTTTTGTTAAAACTTTTTGTAAGAGGCTAGGTTATGAAGATAGAATGGCTATTGTTAATCCCCAAGGTCTAAGTGGTGGCTTACTCCTTTTCTGGAATTCGAATGTCATTATTCATCAGCTTATCTGTCAGGACTTCTTTATTGCTGCAGAATTCCAGCTACCTCAATCTGATAAACAATGGGGTATCTTTGTATATATGAGTGCCTGCAGGAACAATAGAATTATTCAATGGGAAATCTTGGAATCTCTTAAACCTACTTGGGGGCCTAAATGGTTTGCAGCAGGCGATTGGAATGACATTTGTTCAAACTCAGAAAAGGTCGGTGGAATTATTAGAGGCATCTCCAGTTTTCAAGGTTTCAACTCTTTTATCAATAACATGGAGATGGAGGAAATTTGAATGATTGGTTATCAGTATACTTGGTGCAACAACAAGAACTCAGAAGAAGCGGTTGAAGAAAAACTGGACAGAGTTTTTGGCTCTATGGATTGGATGCTTTCTTCTCCAAATGCCAAAGTTCTGAATATTGTCAAAAGCTCTTCTGATCACTCCTTATTATTAATCAACTCAGGAGATCCTAGCTGTAAAACCCCTAAGAGATTCTCTTTTGAGAAGAGATGGATTGGCATGACAGGGTTCTCTAAAACAGTTCACAAAGCTTGGCTGACCTCAGTGGAAAGAACTTCTTTCTTCAAACTCAAAGAAAAGATCAAGTTCACTAGAGTGGCATTACTACAATGGAGTTCCTCCTTTCGCTCCAAGAATCAGCTTATTATCAAATCACTTACTCAAAAACTGGAAGATCTCAGAGAAAATAAGACAAATTCAAATTGGGAGGATTGGGAGAACACCAGGAGAGATATCAATAAAGCTCATTTCTTTGAGGAGAGCTTCTGGCAACAAAAAACCAAGATCAAATGGCTGAAGGAAGGTGATGGGAACACTAATTTTTTCCATGCCTATGCTCAGCAAAGGAGGAGAATAAATGCTATAACCAGATTGGTTTCTGCCAGAGGTCAGGAATTTTGTACTCAGAAGGAGATGGAAGATCATATCACTGAGTTCTACTCAAATCTCTTTTCATCTGAAGAAACACTGGGGGTGATGCAATCATGCATCTCATCCCTAAAACCATAACAGAGGACATGAATCAAACACTTCTGCTTCATGTCGAGGATGCTGAGATCAAAGCCACCATTTTCAGTTTGGAGCCAGAGAAGTCCCCGGAGGAAGGTGGTATGCATGCTCTTTTTTATCAACATTTCTGGGATTTAATTCAAACTGATTTCACTTCTGCAATCAAGAGTTTCTTTCACTCCAAACAGTTGCTGCAGTACTGGAATCACACTGTTTTATCTTTGATTCCTAAATGCTCTCTTCCTGAATCTCTGAGCCAATTTAGCCCATTGGGCTATGTACTGTAGTTTACAAGGTGCTCTAAAAAATTCTTGCCCAGAGGCTGAGAAGCTGTCTTCACTCTTGTATTAGCATTTATCAATCAACATTACTCAAAGAAAGACAATTGCTGGACAACGTGATCATTGCACAGGAAGCCTTCCATTTACCTCAACAGACTTTCCTCAGGCAAACACTGTTTCATGGCAATTAAACTGGATCTTATTAAGGCCTTTGACAGGGTGGAGTGGCTTAGCCTGCAACAGATTATGATTCAAATGGGATTTCACAAGGATTTTGTGTCTCTTATTATGGTCTGTGTTTCTTCTTCTACTCTCTCAGTGAAGGTTAATGGTAGAGTTTCTGGATTTATTAAGCCAACCAGAGGGATTAGACAGGAGGATCCTCTTTCCCCCTATCTATTCATTATCATGGCTGAACTTCTTTCTGCTCTAATTCTTGATGCTGTGAATTGTGGCCTGTTGCACAGCTTAAAACTCTCAAAAAATGGTCCTTTGCTCTCTCACTTGCTTTTTGCAGATGACTCTTTTCTTTTCTGCAAGGCTGATGCTCACCAAGCTGGAGTATTGATGAATATTCTGCATAAATACAAACTCTACACTGGCCAGGCTGTTAATCTTCTCAAATCAGCTGTTTTCTTCAGCAGGAACTCTCCTGCTCACATTAAGTCCAGAGTTTGTGCAGTGATGAATGGTATCTCTTGCCACAGATCCACCAAATACTTGGGCTTACCCCTGGGTATTGGGAGATCTATGAAAGAAGTCTTCTCCTACCTGGTGGAAGCTGTCAAAATGAAACTTCAAGGCTGGAAATCTAAATTACTTTCTTCTGCTGGTAAGGAAGTTCTTCTTAAGTCAGTGATTCAAGCACTACCTATTTTTTCTATGTCCTGCTTCAGACTACCCCGATTAATTTGCAATGAGATCTCTAGTCTTTGTGCAAGATTTTGGTGGAACACCAATGAGGACAACTCCAACTGCATTTTCTGGAAAATCTGGAACAAAATAACCCTCCCTAAGCAGAATGGAGGCAATGGTTTTATTGATATTCAGTTATTCAATGTTGCCTTGATTTGTAAACAACTTTGGCGAATTTCTTCTAACCCTGAGCTTCTTGTCAGCCGAATTCTGAAAGACAGATACTATCCTAATTCATCCATCCTTCAAGCTGTCAAAACTCACAAAAGCTCTTGGTTGTGGAGCTGCTGGCTTGGAGTATTTCCTATCTTCTCTAAATGTCTTAAAACTGAAATCAGAGGAGTGCTGAAACTCGGATTGAAGAGGATAATTAGATTCCTAACTACACAAGATCCAAACCAGTTATGTTGGAACTGGCCAGAGGCCACCTCATATTTGTTAAAGATCTTATTATGCCAGATGGAAAAGAGTGGAACCAATGGCTGGTTAAACAAGTCTTCTCAGCAGCTGATAGCAAGGCTATTCTAAGTATCTCTTCCCTGAAGCCAAACACAAAAGACAGATTATATTGGGGTCTTGATAAGAAAGGTAAATTCTCAGTCTCTAGCATATATTCTCACTTAGTGCAGCAGAAAGTACTTTCTCTTGATATGCCTGAATGCAACACCTCTTTGATTCCTATGGCCAAAACTTTATCTAAAAGCTGGTCTCTCAAAATTCCAGGCAAGAACAAAATTTTTATCTGGAAATGCCTCAGTGGAGCTCTGCCTACTCTGATTAATCTCAATAAGAAAGGGCTTGATATTGACTCTATCTGTAAAAGCTGTGGTGAAGGGCAGGAATCAGTCGAGCACTTGTTTTTAGAATGTAGCAGAGCTAAAAGACTTTGAGAGATCGCTTCTGTTTCCTGGAATGGCTATCTGCTCCAATCAGGCTCCTTCAAACACAAGTGGCAACAAATCTGCTCCTTATCTAAGTCTGACACATCCAACTTCATAATCCAACTCACTACTTATCTTCTTTGGTGGATGTGGAAGACTTGTAATCTTTGGATCTTTCAAAAGGCCCTTATCCCTGTCCATATTGTTGTGAAGTCTGCTCACTCGGATTGGCTCAACTTCTGCAAGGCTCATGATTCTTGATCTTTTGTTTTTTCTTTTAGTTTAGCTGTTTTATTTTGATCTTTGGGATGTAGCTAGGCCGGTTGGCAGTGGTGTAGTCCTATTGATTGATTTTTGCTTGTTGTATTTGTGAGTCTCTAGGCCATTTCTTAATGTGCCTCTAAGTTTTCAGTTTGTTGTTGTTGTTTTTGGTCTTATGTATTGAACATTCTTTTCTGGTTTTATAGCATTCTATCGTTTCGGCCAAAAGAAAAAAAAAACATATTTATAAATCTCGATATTGAAGGATAAGAAAAAAAATTGCGCATAAATAAAGTACATGTACTATATATACAATATATAAACTACATATTATAAAGTATATGCATATGTATATACTATCTACTTCATACTATATACTACCTCTATTTCAAATTATAAGTCGTTTTGACGCAAAATGGATGAATAAAAAAAAATCAAAATGACTTATAATTTGAAACGGAGGGAGTACTATATACTATACTAAATATTTATATATAATATTATATATGTATATACTTAGCAAACCAACAAGAAATTTCGTTCGTGTTCATCCGTTTATTGGTTCGACGTGTTCGTGAATAGTATAAGTTAACGCGATCCTAAATCAAAAATTTTATAGATCTCGATATTAAGGATAAGTATATATTTTGCGCAACAATAAATGTGATCGTCTAGTGGTAGGATGGTGTGGAAGGCGGCCTTGAGGGTTTGAAACGCCCAGACCTGGGGTTGATTCCCCTCAAGCGCGAACCTTCAACCATTTTTTTTTTTAATGTGTAAAATGTATTCTCATAATACGTTTTACTATAAATTAAATATATAACGTATTTTGATAATACATTTTTAATTCACACGAGTCGTGTCATAGGTTACACGACTCGTGTGACATTCTGTCCTAAAAAATCACACGTCCCAGATTCACATGACCGGTTCACACGATTCATGTGGTGTCACACGACTCATGTGCCTGTCCACACGACCCGTGTGAAAAGGTCGTAGCTAACTACCTGTTTTTTGTTACTCACATGACTCATGTCGCCACTCGCAGGAGTCATGCGACCTCGAGATAATTTTGTATAAAACGTATTCTGAGAATACGTTTTACATTTAATTTGGTGTAAAACGTATTCTCAAAATACGTTTTACTATTGAATATAAAACGAAAAAATCCTCTTCTTCCCCATTTACGCAACCAGAGAACCAGAGCAGAGGAATAAAGAAAGATTGAGAGCAAGAATTTGGAAAAAAAAAAAACCTATCTCCATCGCCGCGTTCATTTCGTCGGACCGCCGCCGCTTGCCGTTGCACCGTCGGAGCTCCTCCTTCAGTCTATTAGGTATATTTCTTCTATTAGGGCTTCAATTTTTTTTCTTTTTTTTTCAATAATTTGATAATGTGTTGTGAGATTGAGTTATGAATTGGGGTTAAGGTTTTGAATTGGATTAGAGTTGTTCCAGTTTTTTCAATTTTTTTCAATAACTTCAATTTTTTTAAGTTGGATTAGGGTTTGAAATTAGAATAGAATTTGAAATAATGTATATGAAATTTAAGTTGTTAAACTATATGTTATGAATATTATGGTTTTATATTATGAATACTATTATTTTTGTTAATAACTGAGATTGACAAATTGATTTGACATATAATTTTCTAGCAATTATTTGCTTTATATTATGAATACTATAATGGTTTTGATTTTTTTTTATAGAAAATGGCATATTTGTCGTCCTCACAACCTCGCTGGTACCTTCTATATCTTTAGTACCGCCACCGGTTCAAGCGGTATTTGAAGATCTAGAGGGATATTGTAATGGCACGGTTAAAAACCGCCGTTACGACACTCAGTTCTGGCATGCCTTGGAAAACCAGCATGTCGAGGTATGAGAGGTGATCGGCAGGACGAGTTTTGGACCGCTGTTTCGAATGGGCCGGATACAGACGGACAACAACCTCATAGGGCTGGTATTTTTTAACCAAAACTGAACCGAACCGAACCGAACCGACTCATTTATAACGGTAACCGATAATCGGTAACCGAATTGTTATCGATTCGGTATCGGTTCAGAATCCATAAGGGTTCGGTAAAACTGAACCGAACCGATAAGGTATTAAAATAAATACAGATTTTAGAGAATAGTAACAGATTATGTATTAATTACAGGTTATGTTAGTTAAATAAAATAATAAATTAGGCCAATTGATAACTGATGTCTTATAGTTTAAAAGAAAAACGTGATGGATGAATCAGAATTAAGGGGACAGAGTAGAACTAGGGTTGGGAGTCTTGCAAATATGCACACAAATTCCATTTCCTGGGATGATCCTTCGCTCTTCAGATCTTCACCTCACTTTCATCAGAAATTAGAAATCAGAAATTCAGAATCAGCCTCGACGCGAGTTCTTCACCTCACCTTCTCACTTGAGTCGCGACTCGTGATTGCCCCTCCGCTTCTTCCACTCATCGGTGTCCTCTCACTCGTTGGAGTTGCGATTTAGGGCTGGTATTTTATGCTTTATTAACCTCCAATTGGTTTTTTTTTATGTATAGAAGATGTGGTGTGAGGCAATTTGTTAATTGTGTTGTGATTGGTATTCACATTTATGTTGTGATTTGGATATGTTGTGTTGAGTAATGATTGGATTTAAAACTTGGAACTATTGTTAAGCCTGTTTTTGAGCTTGTTGTTGTGAAACTTTGGATTTTTAAGCTTCCTGTTGTTGTGAATTTGGGATTTTTAAGTTGCTGGTGTGGTGTGTTGTATTGTGATTTTTCACTGTTTTGGTCTCTGTATGTGAATTGTGAATTTCGGTTTTTATCGGTTTGAACCGAAACCGAACCGTTTTATCGGTAACCAAAAAACGGTTACCGACTTCTTATCGGTTCGGTTTCTGTTTGAATATTAGTGAAACCGAACACTATCGGTTCGGTATCGGTTTTTTTATCGGTTCGGTAACCGAACCGATGCCAGCCCTACAACCTCATTACCTGTCTGGTGGAAAGGTGGCGACCAGAGACGCATACCTTCTACTTCGATTTCGGGGAGGCCACCATCACGCTGCAGGACGTACAAGTTCTATTTGGCCTCCCTATCAGTGGAACTGCTTGTTGGGGAGATACTATAGATTTCACTCCTCAACAATGGCGAGACTGATGTTCTGACTTGTTAGGGTTTCACCCCTATGTCTAGGTATACAATTTTTTTTTTATTTTGTTTATGTATACTCCATTATTTCGTTTTTAATATATATAAACCACTCCCAGGATAATGAAGAGGATCCTGCGTACGACCCCAAAACTAGGGCCATTCAAGGCCAGTTTATGAATATTTTGGGGTTAGAAGAGGAATGCAACACAGAACTATCAGACGGACAACACAACAAAGTCTACGAACAGAGAGCTATGGCCCTTATACTGTGGTGCATTGGGTCCTTCTTCTTCCCCGACCAGCGGGCCAATGAAGTCAACTTGCAGCTGTTGCATGACATCGATGCGATTAAGGGGTACAGCTGGGGTTCAGCGCTCCTCGCCGGATTATATAGAGCGCTATGCACAACCTACCAGGCCAGGGAAACTTGGATCAAGGGTTGTGTGCAATTGCTTTAGGTACATTTATTTACTTGTTATTTTAAATTCATTTTTTTTTATTCTAATTTAGACTAATATCTAATAACTAAAATGCATATGTCGATATGTGTAGGTTTTGGCATGAGAACATATCCCTCGTCTTCGCCCAATAATGAAGTCCACGCACTTTGGTTCTCAGCGTGGTTGTCC